GAGTCCAATTGGTTGCTGTCATGAGGTTGAGGGCCCTTTTTCCTTCTGTTGTATGTGAGTATCTCTTTCCGTTGCCTACTGGAGCCTTCAGGGACATCTGCAGCATCAAGAGAAGTAACCGGCATAGTGGGAGCCTCACTAGGTTGACCCAGAATGCCACAACTAAGAGTAGCAGAAGAGGATGGAAGGCCCGAGGCAGATAGAGGAACAAAAAAGGAGGGAGAATGAGAATCCTCTTCCATCCCACAAGTCTCCCCCTGAAGAGGATTCTGAGAAGACTAAGAATAGGGTTGAGACTCAAAAAAGACCACATCTCTGGTTACATACTTTCTCTTGGAGACAGGATCATAACACTTGTACCCCTTCTGTGTAGGAGAGTACCACAAAAATATTCCCTTCTTAGCCTTAGTATCCAGCTTGGTCTTCTTTGGATCCTTCACATGTATGAAACATATACAGCCAAAGACCCGTGGAGGGAGAGGAAAGTCTGGAAGAGTGGGACACAAAACAGAGAAAGGGGTTTTCATACCCAATACCTTAGATGGCATCCGATTTATCAGATATGATGCAGTAAGTACAGCTTGAGACCAGTATTGCTTGGGAACTTTGTGCTGGAATAGTAAGGCTCGAGCTGTCTCCAATAGATGTCTATTCTTGCGCTCAACAACCCCATTCTGCTGAGGGGTATTAGCACAAAATGATTGATGTAACATGCCAGCATCTTTCATGAATAAGTTCAAGGATTTTTCAAAATATTCAGCAGCATTATCTGACCGGAATTGCTTAATCTTCTTATCAAATTGTGTTTCAATCATCTTGCAAAAAGCCATAGTTATCTGTGGTACTTCATCTCGTCCTTTTAACAAATAGATCCATGTGCATCGAGAATAGTGGTCAATAAAATTGATAAAGTAACGGAAGCCATCAATGGAAACAATGGGTGAAGGGCCCCAAACCTCAGAATGAACCAAATCAAAAGGAGCTCGAATATCATTACTGGAAATTGAATAAACAGTTCTACATTGTTTTGACATTTGACATACTTCACAAATTAAACTCTGACTTGAAATGCCCTTAAACAATTCGGGAAACAACATTTCTAATGAAGAGAAAGACAAATGACCTAGCCTAGCATGCCACAGATGCAACCTAGYTATTGACTCCACACTCTTCGGACTACTAGCAACAGATGCTTGTAAGGCCGAACCGATGTCTGCATCAAAATAGTAGACTATTTTGACTTCACACTCTCCGGACTTTTTTAGAATGAGACTGATTCTAAAAAAGTGTGAAAAAGGTTAGATATCATCAGCAAAGAGAGAAGAAGAAGAGAGAAGAAGAAGAAGTCGGCTGCAATAGGGTTTTGGAAGATGAGTTGTTCGAACCTCGCTTCCTTCCTTAATCTTTTCATTAAAAATACTTTACAAAGTTTCTGTATTTACAAGGAAGCCCTTAATTGGGCGATTAACTTAATTAAACATAAAATATAAAGAAACATAACGGCCCATTAACAAAAAGGAATAGAAACATAAAGAAATAAGAGCAGCCTATGGGTCACTCGGCCCCCTCAAGCTGAGCATAGATGTCAACCATGCCCAACTTGCTAGTGTCATGTTGTAGTTTGGCCTTGGAGATTCCCTTGGTAAGGATGTCAATTAATGTTCTTCAGATGTAATGAATGGTAGACAAACTTTTTCAAAAGCCACTCTTTCTCCAATAAAATGCCTGTCAACTTCAATATGTTAGTTCTATCATGTTGCACTGGATTGTGGGCAATGTTGATGGCGGCCTGATTATCACAATATAGCATCAATGGCTTATCATACCCAACACCTAGTTCCTCCATCAAGGATCGAAGCCAAAGTAACTCAGAAACTCCATGAGCCATAGCCCATACTCAGCCCCAGCTGAAGATCTAGCAACAACAGATTGTTTCTTGCTTCTCCAAGAAACTATATTACCTGCCACCATGCTACAGTATCCCGAAGTTGACCTCCTATCATCAATGTTTCCTACCCAGTCAACATCTGTGTAAGCCTCCAATTTCATATGACCATGCTTAACAGAAAGAATGCCCTTCCCAGGAGTACTCTTCAAATAACATAAAATTCATTCTGTTGCTACCATATGAGTGTCCTTGGGAGCGTGCATGAACTAGCTAATGCAACTAACGACATATGCAATGTCAGGCCAAGTCATACAAAGATATAGTAGTTTCCCTAGTAACCTTTGAAACTAGCGCAGTACGGAAACAAACCACGTTGAGAAAAGCTTCAAAGAAAAGAGCAGAAGTCGAATTATCATGAAGAAGAATTCTTCACTAAATAATTAAGAGAAAATCAACATCAAAAAACTGTCTTAGCCTTCCCCTAACTACTCTTTATATAGGCATACACCCTTATGACTCCTACAAGAAAGCTTCCTAATGTATGAAAACACTTCATAATAGAATCCTACTAAAACTCTTCAAAAAGAAATTCTAATTGAACAAAAATTCGGAAATAATGATCTAATACTAATTTGGTAATTATGAACTAGAATAGAATTCTTGTACTAACACTAGCTTGGTAAGTTCGAACTAAGATAGAAATTCCGTGCTAACGCTATCTTGGTAAATTCGAACTAAGATGGAAATTCCGTGTTGGTGTTATCTTGGTAAATTCAAATTGAGATGGAAATTTTGTGCTAGCACTAACTTGGTAAATTCAAACCAGAATAGAAGTTCTGCATTGGCGCTAACTTGGTAATTGATTACTCGGTTGGATAAGTGACATCATCCGAGCTTCTTATGTGTCTTGGAGTCATAGTTGTCAAGGCGACACCTAGGCGACAAGGCGCCCTTTGAGGCTCGCCTCGCCTAATCGCCTAACCGTTTTCTGCTTCCTACTATAAAATACTTTTTTATTCATTCTTTTTTGAGATTGTAATTATAAAATAGACATTATTAAACTAAAAAAAAAATCATTTTGTGTGTTTATATACTGAAAGCTGAAATGTTGTAGCCGAAGTAGTAGAAGAGAGGAGAAGACCAAGAGATGCTGAGAATGTCGAACTGAATGACCTAGTCGACAGTACTATTATTTATATTAGAGTACAGTACAGTGTTACAGGAAATGACTGGAATGCCCCAGATTAGTGATGGGACACCCAAACAACTTAAAAAACACTAAACAAACTTAGGCCCATTAACACAGCACATAACAAAAACTCAAATACAGGCTAATAAGAACTCTTATCAGTAGGACCATCAATACATGAAAACCTTCAACCTAACACTTCCCCTTAAGCTAAGAATGGATGTCAATCATGTTTAGCTTCCCAAGAAGGTCCATGAACTTTGCTGCAGCCAACCCTTTGGTCAATACATCTGCAATTTGCATCTCAGATGGAGTATAAGGAATGCAGAGTTCTCCCGAGACTATTCTCTCTCTAACAAAATG